CACATTTCCATTCATATTTATAAATAATATTATAAATATTATATATACATACATTATATTTATATTTATTAATATTTATATTTATATTATATTTTTATTATATTAATATTTATTATATATATATTATTTTATATTTTAATTAAAAATTAGAATTATATATTATAATATATATAAAATATATTATTATATTAAATATATAATATATATTATAATATATATAATATCCTATATAATTCTATATAATTCTATATATGTTATATAGATTATTAAGAATATAATAATATAATATAATTATATTAATTAGAAAATAATAATCAAAGATCTAAATAAAGATAATAAAAATAAGGTAGTCATAGTAATAGAAATTTTGTTTTACGCGCGCTTAACGGTAGTCGCAAAAGTCGAGATATCGATCGTCCTCACCTAAAAGAGTCCTATGTTCCGGAGAGCAGAGCACGTAGTGATATGCTCTCACAAGCTACTTGCTACAATTGGATAATCTTTCGATGAAGAAGGTCGAACGATAAACGAAACGAAACGAAAGGTTTTATTCGTAAACACCTTCTCATAAGTTATTCAAACCTATTGACAAGTGATAAGGTTTATTGATCATTCATTCAATTTTAATTACAAATTCACGTGTAACTTTGTTTAATCGGTCGGAAATTGACCGAGTCCAAAGATGTGCGGTGGTTTTACGTGTTCGAAAAATGCTCTAACAGCCCTAAATATACTTTACATTGTAAGTGTAATCTTTTTTTTTGTTTTTCTTCATATGTGTAAAAATTATTTCTATTTCTGTTTTTTTTTCTTTTTTTTTTTTTTTTTAATATTATTTTAATATATAGAATAATTTGATTAAATTAAAAAAAATATATTTATAATACAATTATTGACAAGTTTACGAATTTAAATAAATATCTAGGATTAAACTGTGATAACATTACCCCATGAAATTTATTAAAAGTCTATAGTAATATGGTAAATTCCATGAATGAATTATCTTTCAATTTTGTGCCTGATCCAAATATATTTCTTAATAACTGTACACTGATAAAGTAGCTTTGGATATCACACATTATACATATATATATATATATATATATATATAAGCTCATTTATCTGTACAAATAATTTCCCATTCAAATGATGTTAATTATCATAATCGTCAGAGATGATTTTGGAATTAGTCCATTTAAACAAACAGATAATATTCAAAGTTCAAATTCTTATTTTTTTTTTTTTTTACTTTATCTTTGAACTTGTATAAGTGATATTCATAAAAATGATTATCTATCAAAATAATTTGATATTTGTTTGTATGTATTTTAGGTCGTTGCATTTATTTTAATTGGAGTTGCTGTTTATGGAAGAGCATCAGCTTTGGTCACCAATCTTCCAATAATTGGTGGAATTTTAGCTTGCGGAGTTATACTCATTCTCATTTCCATTCTCGGATTAATTGGTGCTGTGAAACATCATCAAGTTTTATTATTCTTTGTATCCTTTTTTTTCCAAAAAAAAACCATTATTATAACATAGAAGAAAGTAATTTGCAAATGAATGTTAATTTTCCTTAATTGTATATTACAGTATATGCTTATCTTGTTCCTTCTGTTTTTGATTCAATTCAGCATTGCTTGTGCTTGTCTTGCTGTTAATGCCAAACAACAAGAACAACTTGCCGAACAAGTATTTTTTTTTTATTCTTTCCTATCAATCATCTTTTTGATCCTTTTGTAATATGTATTTTATTTGATATATATATATATATATATATTTTTTAGGGATGGAGACGAGTTGGAGATGATTTACGTGCTAAAGTAGAAGAAACTTTCCATTGCTGTGGATTTAATGATACTGTTATTGAAACAGATCCCTTGGCATGCCACAATACAAATGTAAGTATATGTGATCATAATTATGAAATTGATCTAAGTAGAAAATTAACAAACAAAATAATGAGTTTATCTGTTATTACGTACCACATTATTTTAAACTAAGTAAATACAATGTTATTTGAAAACGATATTGTCAAAAATGAATGAATCGTTAGATAATGTTTGTTTGTTTTTTCAATATTACATAGAATTCATATAATGTTCAAATAAAAATCTTGAAATATCTCGAAATAAGAGATACATGACTTAAACCAATTTCATAATTATGGGCACATATAAAAGTTTGCACTATAACAAAGCATACTCATAAATATGAAATAATACACTTTAATGTGAACCAGTTCAAAATGTAATTTTATCTAACATTTAATATTTATTGATTTTTTTCTATAGAAAACTTGCTGTCCTTATTCTGATCGCGAATGCACCAATCGATGTCCATTATGTATGCAAAAGTTGCAATCTACGATTGATTACGCTTTCAAACTCTGTGGTAGTATAGGATTATTTTTCAGTTTTACAGAGGTAAGACAATGAATCTATCATATGTTATCAATTTCAAATATGACATTTAAAATGAAAGATAATTGATGCAATGTTGTCGTTTAAAATCATCTTGAATTTGATCAAAGTTTTTGTATCGTCTTATATATCCCAAAATAATATAATGCATATATTTTTCATGAAATTAAATCATATTATTATAATAATGAAAGACTCATGTCATTTAATGCTTATGTATATGCCCATTATAGTTTGTTGGTGTTTGGTTGACCGTGCGGTACAGGAACCAGAAAGATCCGCGAGCTAATCCTAGTGCTTTTCTCTAGTCTAACACCATCGCCATGTCCTCTATCTCCTCATACGACCCTCCTAATAGATGGTGGGTTGTATCATAATGTTGATTGTCTTCCTTGTTAATTAAATCTTATTGTTTCTTTGCATTATTAAAAAAAAAAAAAAAATAAAATAAAATTATTATATACATTATACTATTTTTTTTTCTTGTACATAATTAAATACATTTGTTTAATTTTTGTTTTTTTTTTCAGGTGATCGCAGCTTTTCTAGCAAAGCATTTTAAAAATCAGCTGGATTCGCAACAAAAAGCTACAAGAGCTGCATTTTCCCAATTAAATTATTTTTATTAATTTAAACTACATGTAATTATTTATTTACGTGCAATTTTATTTCCTTTGTAGAACAGCAACACTAGATCTGGGAATAATGGGATTTCGCTTGATGAAACCCATAATCGATAGAAAATACGTGATTATCATCGAAGAGTCAGAGAACAAATTTTGATTTATCTATTTAAAGGATGAGATGAAGAAATGGATCGTTTTTTCCTGGTTCATAATACTCTAAAAAAAAAAAGAAAAAAAAAATTCTACAATAATTCTAAGTATGAGAGTGAACAATTTTACAAAATTATTGAATCTATAACATGTGTTACATAATCGTTTACACTAAAAGGCTCATTATAAGCTTGAACACACGGTGTGGCTTATTGTTGAATAGACTGGATTAGGTACATCTTCATAAGCACATTTTTAATCAAATTATTGTGCATTTCTTTTCTTTTCTTTTCTTTTCTTCTTTTTTTTTTCTTATAATTATTACATCACAAATATATATATATATGTAGAATTCTTGAAATGATATATTTCCAAATTTTCATGAAATTATGATTAAAGTATCATTTATGTACAACTTTAATTTTTCTTTGCCATATTATTTTTAAGTATTTCTTTATTATTGTTTATAAAAGTAAAAAATATATGATTTATTTCTTCTAAAGCTAGGAAAAAAACCAAATGATTTTCACTTTTTATTATATCATTTCACTTGGTTTCAAATGTATTTTGAAATTGAGACAATCCTATTTTAATTTTTATTCATGAGAAAATAAAAAAAGGATATCGTGAACAAAATTTAAAAAAAAAAAAAAAGAGTCTTCCTTTACATCAAAATCGATGAATTAATTTCAATACATTCATTTGCAACGATTTGCATTAATTTTGTTCTTCTGTATATAATATATGGACAAGTTATAAATGTTTCCTATGATTTATTATTTAATATAAATTCTAACAAATATATATATATATATATTTATTTAATTGATTATAAATTATGTAAATTAATTTTGAAAACAACATGTATAAAATATCAATGATATAATAACTATTATCAATTTAATATAATTTATAATACGTTAGTAAGAGCATTTAATTCTAAATAATCATAATAGATCTGCATAATTATAATAATGTATAAGAATATTCGATAATTTCACGATACGCATATAATCGATTTTTTATAATAGGTGATGATAGTATATATATATATATATATATTTAACATTGCTTAAAAAATGTATTTAAAATAATATATAGATTGTATAAAAATAATTTAGATAGTGAATTTTAAGTGCTTGTTTTATTTGCGACTAAGCTATTAATATTTATTTGAAAAAATTGTTTGATTTTATTATTTTCATTTATATTGCGTCGTGAAATATATTATATTATATGTATTTTAATTGTAAGTCTTGCTTAAAATCAAATTATTAATGCTAGATCACAGGACTTCTCAAAGTGTGAATTGCGATCTCGTATTAGGACTGTAAGAATGTCAATAGAACTTAACAATTTTCTGGATGTGAAATGATGATAAATTAATTTAAAAATAATTTAACAACATTACACTAATAATATGTGTCTGAGTTTACAATAGAGAAAGAGTAAATAGTGAAGAATCTACCATCCAGAGTGGTGAAAATATTCGCTCTAGTGAAACAAAATTACCAAATAAAAAAGTTTGAGAAGTCTTATGCCAATTAATATTTCAAATACATCTATTAAAATATATAAAGTATAAAAATAATTATATAATTATAATAATTATAATAATAATACTAATAAGATATATATATCTTAAAAACAATTATATTTAATAAGTACATATTTGCTTACGTTGTTTATAAATTCCAAAATTAAATACCAAAAGTACTATCTTCTTTTTTATAGTTAATTCTAATTATTTTCTTTTTACTATTAAATTTTGTTACATTTATTTTTTATAGTTATTAAAGAAAATCTCATTTGTTATGTTAAAAGTACAAAACTTTCGAATCAAATGATATCTATCAGAAACTCTCGAATATCTTTAATAAAATTGAAAAAGTAATTGTTGATAAAAAATTGTAATAATAATCAAACAATCACATTACAGTCTATATAAATGAAATTTAGCATTTTTAATATAAATTTCACATTTATACTTTATGAGTATAATGTAATGCACATTATTTAAAAAATGTATTTAACAATAAAGTATTTAATATATCTGCGATGAATTAAAAATACAACATAAAATATCACACAAGTCAATTTGATTAATAAATTTTAAAGTTGCTCATTTTACCCCTAATATAAATAAATAAATATAAAAATATTATATTTCATTTTCATTCTTTATTGTGAATAAATAAAATATATCATTTCAGAAGAATATTTTTCGTATTTCCCACCATTTTTGAAAGCACCTATCAGAGCAGTTCAATTCGACCAATCAGATCACAGAATTGAACACGTGTGACAGTTATATATTTGTGACATGTGTAGTGATAAAAGAGAATATTTATCAGATAACATTTATTAAAATACCTTTAATTAATATTACTAAGAATTGCTATAGATTTAATTAAATGTTTTATATCAATTAAAATGTATTTTTATAATTAATAAAATAAAGAAACAAATATTCTCACATTTGTAATTTAAGGTTAAGTTATACAAATGTTTTTAATACGTTGTCAACGTTTAACTAGCAATTATGTTATCAGAAGGATATCTACAAATGTATCAAAAAATTTAATGAAAGATTATCGTACTCCTGAACAAAAACAAAATATACGATCTACTGCACTGTATATGACTGGTTTGGGTATACTCGTAACTGGGCTTAGTTATGCAGCAGTACCATTGTATGGAATGTTTTGTCAGGTATATTTTATCTATTATAGTTAATTTCTAACATTAAAATATTATGTAGATATCTTTTCATTTAAATATATTATATCTGATATATAAATTAGGCATTCAGTTATGGAGGAACTGTAATTGGTCACGATGATAGCACATTATCAACCATGCAGCCTGTTAAAGAAAGAAAGATAAAAGTAAAGTTCAACGCTGATGTAGGTGCATCAATGGCATGGAATTTTAAACCTTTACAACGAGAAATAACAATAATCCCAGGAGAGACAGCGTTAGCATTTTACACTGCTAAAAATCCTACAGACAAACCAGTCATCGGTATTTCTACTTATAATGTAGTACCTTTCGAAGTAGGACAGTATTTTAATAAAATACAATGCTTTTGTTTCGAAGAACAATTATTGAATCCACATGAACAGGTAACTTATTAAAAATATTACTAATTTGAATACACTTATGATGAGAAAGCTTTATGTGAATTATATATTTTAGGTCGATATGCCAGTATTCTTTTATATCGATCCAGAATTCAATGAAGATCCTAAAATGGAATTCATTAATGATATAACTTTGTCTTATACATTTTTCGAATCTAAAAGTAATCTTAATCTTCCTATACCAAGTTATATCAAAAAACATAGTTCGAAGGAAGCATAAGTTATTTTCTATATAACTTTTTATAATTGTACAAAGAAATATATATAGTGAATTTGTTTATGTTTGATCATTGAAATTTCACTTTATATTTATTTCAATAAAGTATAATATATATATATATATATATTTATACACATGCATATGTATATATAGTTATGTGCATCAATAGTTTTAAATATGTATACATTATTGTTAATAATTAATTAAAATCTAAATAATGCATTAACTGGATATGCTCGTCGAAGACCGCAAACCTTTTCTCTGTCTATATATATAGAATCTATTTTAAGTGCTAAATCATGTTCCAATGCAGTCCTAGTTCTCAATAATCTTTGATGCTGATCTTCAAGTTCTTTCAATGCTTTGTGCATACGTTTAACTTGATGATCTATTTCATCTATTTCTTTTTGAAGACTATAAGAATGAAAAATATTAAAGTCAAATAAATATGAAATTTCTATTAATAGAAAATAATGAATAAATACCTTAAGTAAGCATTATCACGACATAATTCTAAATCTGGACGATGCATTCGAGCTTCTAATCTCGTATGTGCAACTTTAATAGCATGACTTTTATCAGCAATAGCTTTACGCATTAATTCCATATTTTTTTCAACATCAAATATTTCCTGCTGTACCTGTTACATATGTTAATACATTAGTTTATTAAAAAATGATTACACACATGTATATCATTTAAAAATCATACTTTTTGTAAGTGCTGCTGCAATTTATTTTTAGCTTCAAGTAACTCTGAAGATCTATGTGTCAAAGCATTGTTTGTATTACTCCATGAGTCCCACATTTCTTGAGACACTTTATTTATAATACTTTCTGCACAAGTTCGCAACTGACTAGACATATTTCTTTCATGTTGTGACTTTTGTATTATTCGGTTTGCAGCTTCCGACCAACATTCTTGTTCCGAGAGACTAAAAATTGAATAATTAATCAATATATATATATATATAAAGTTAATTAATTTATGAATTATTTCAAAACACAGTTCTATTACCAAGGATCATATTTTTCAATTCCTGCATAATATTGTAATCCATGACTGTAATTATTCAATTGATGACACATCATATCTATACCTAATGCACTTTCTTTGTTCTTCAAATCTAATTCTAATTGATTCTGCGAAGCTCTGCAATTACGCAACTACAAAAATATACAAATGAAATATCACATATATATATTTCTTTATATAGATTATATTTAAAATTAAAAAATATACCTGATCTTTACATTTGTCAAGACAAGCCTCTAATTTTTTCTGACAATTCTTTAAATTATCTATTTCTCTCAATAAGCATTTTTCTGATTCGTCGTGAACAAGTTCTGTCCCTGTACATATAGTCATATTAATTTATTATTAAATAATATTCTATTTATACAATCATTTTATATACCTTTCCTTGCTTCTCTATGATAAAGACATTCTTCTGCAATATGCAACGGTCCTTCAATATCTCTTATAGCTTTTTCCAAAACAGAACGACAATCCTGAAGTCTTTCTATCTCTTGCAATAATCTTTCTAATTCTGAAGATATTTCATTTCGCCAAAAGGATACATCGTTTATTCTTTCACCTAATCTTCTTCCAGTATCTAATTGTCCATATTGTATTTTCTCTTTTGCACTCCTAGAAATGTATAAACAATTATGATTATTACACAAGTATAATTGAAATGAGTTTTTAACTCTTTGAGACACGATGGGATTAAAAGTGTCCCACCTTTTTGATACACCGTAATGCACGGTAAGACATTTTTAGTCCCACTTCGAAAAATATTATAGCAATAGCTAAACATACTCATAAGATTATATTTCGTCTTATTTACGCAAAACAATTAGTTATTAACTCTTCTTTTTTTTATGTTTTTACATTATTACATTATGTATTATTGTATTATACCTTTTATTAATGAAGGTATGTATTATACCTTTATTAATAAAAAATCTATCAATATTTGGTTTCATTTAAAACAATCAAATTTCTATGCAACATAGAGACTATTTTATTATTTGAAATTCTATGCCGCAAAGAGTTAATACACATACCTAACTATTTTTAAAGCATCATTTCTCAATCTTTCTGATAAATGTCTATTAGAATCTGCTTCGTTGTAATATTTCATTTGTTTTTGAAACCACTCATTTGGAGTATATCTTGTATAAAGAGCAGCTCGTGATGCATGGACAGGATCTTTATGACATCCAGTTACCAAGTCAGGAAATTTTAATGGCTTATGCATGACTCCATTTGTTGTATCCAATGGATAATTTGATATACACTTTCTAGCCCTATCCATAGAATATGTTAAACAGTTTATATAATAATTAAACAAATTTAGATAATAATTAATGATAAACTTACAATGGTATAACTTCAATATTTTCAAATCCTGTACTAGGTCTCCAAGGTAATAAATGATGTGTATGATTGTAGTCGCTTACACGAATAGGAATTTTGTATTCCGTGTAAGGCATCGATGAACCAACAGTACTCCATGGCTGTAATTGCTATTAATATCATTTATTATTTTTAATAAGTAATAATAGAAATGATATTTTAGAATTAATATGAATTTTATTCTTCATATATAATATTTGTAAAAAAAAAAAAAGCTGTTTATAATACAGGAATAATTATAATTTCTGTAATAACATAAATGAAATCAACAGTACTCCATGGCTGTAATTGCTATTAATATCATTTATTATTTTTAATAAGTAATAATAGAAATGATATTTTAAAATTAATATGAATTTTATTCTTCATATATTATATTTGTAAAAAAAAAAAAAACTTTTTATAATTATAATTTTTGAAATAACATAAATGAAAAGAAAAGTCAAATGTAAAAGAATGTTTATTATTAATTAAGTATGTTTATTATTAAATTAATTTTAATAATTTTATATTCTAACCTCTGATTTGTTTGATAAGTATAATCTTAGTATTAGTTATACTTCTCAATATGGCAGATGTACCAGGTGAAGCACCAGAACGTAAGATCGATTTATTTCCCTTCATAATTTGTTAATTATATTAATAATTATATCAATTTATATTAATTTATTGCTTAAATTTGTTCCACGTTCAAATTTGAATTCTTTTTTAGTAAATAATGTTGTCACATTAATAACAGAAATGAATTATAGGTTAGGATTATTTTCTAAAGTATACACATATAATTTCAATTGATAACGCAATAAATATTATTTAATATGATTCACATAAGACTATTACAAATATAAAAGAAGTCTATTATATATAAAAAAAAAAAAAACTTTGTATCTATTATAAATTTTGATAATATTTTCAAATTACAATTGTTTAACAAATCTTCGTTTATAAGAGAGAAAATTATTAGAATATTTGCAGATTGTCCTGGAACAAAGAGTGAACAGGCTGGTAAAGCATCTGCTTGTGCAGGATGTCCAAACCAAAGATTATGTGCATCAGGTGCAACAAAACAAGCAGATCCTGGTATAGAATTGGTTAAAGAAAGATTGTCTAATGTCAAACACAAAATCTTGATTTTGTCTGGTAAAGGTGGAGTTGGTAAAAGCACAGTAACTTCATTGGTATCTAGAGTCCTCGCTGATAGTAATCCAGATAAAAATGTAAGTATTTACTATTTGAAAATAAATCTTTCAAAATTTACATCTACGTACCCTTTTTCCTAGACCAAGCACATCCATGTGATTCTCTATGTACATGCTCCCATGTTGAACTGTATTATACCTTTTCCTTCTAACTTAAAAATACCAGTGAGTTAACTATATCTGTAGATGTATAGGTATCTATGTCGTACCAACTTGTACCAGCCTCTTATTGATTTATCACAATTTCTATGTATCCTCCTTAAAAGCTTTGATTTCTAGTAACCAACATAGCAACACTTAAATATCTACATAAATTAATTTTCTAATAAATATTATCTTACAATATTATTGTAGATTGCTGTATTGGACATTGATATCTGTGGTCCATCACAACCAAGAATTTTAGGAGTACTTGGAGAACAAATACACCAAAGTGGTTCTGGCTGGTCTCCTGTGGTAATTTTTAATGAATACAAATTCTATACGATAAGATCAATCAATTTGATTAACGTCTTTCTTCTTTCTTTTTTTTTTTTTAGTATATTGAAGATAATTTATCGTTAATGTCCATTGGATTTTTACTGGGTAGTCCAAGTGATGCAGTAATATGGAGAGGTCCTAAAAAAAATGGTATGATACGACAATTTTTATCAGAAGTTGATTGGGGCAACTTAGATTATCTTATTCTGGATACACCACCTGGTACCTCAGACGAACATTTGTCTGTGACTACGTATTTAAAAGGTGCCGGTATTACTGGTGCAATTGTTATCACTACACCTCAACAAGTCGCACTATTGGATGTCAGAAAAGAAATAGATTTTTGTAACAAAGTAAATATTCCAATACTAGGCGTAATTGAAAATATGAGTTTATTCGTATGTCCTAAGTGCAAGGTAAAAACAACTCATTTTTTTTTTTTGTTATCTTAACAATGAAAATGAATAATCTTTGAAAAAAAGAATTTAATCAGATATATTTTCTGTAGAATTCTGCTGAAATATTTCCAGCATTAACAGGCGGTGGTCGTGCTATGGCTGCTGATTTGAATATCGATTTCTTAGGATCATTACCATTAGATCCTTTAATAGCAAGATGTTGCGACGAGGGAAAAAACTTTTTAACAGACATTCCAGAATCACCGACAATCCTAGTTTTAAAGGATATAGTTAAAAGTAAGTTTTTTATTTTTTTTTTTTTATCAATTTTGTATTTGATAAATATCATTAAGAAGATTTGTATAATTTATTATTTATTTGTCCTATTCGTTTTTAATATTTTTGTTACAGAAATCATACATAAATGTGAAAACGAAAAAGACAACAACGTTATTGACAAAACCTAATAGATTTCTATTAGGCTATAAATATTTATAGAAATCAAATATCAAATGTATATTTTATTAAATAATGTTAATGTACAAATTAAACAATTTATATCTTTCAAGAATATTGAAATATTCCATCTTATAATAGAATTGAAAAAGAAAAAAACAAATTGTACTGAACCTTGTACTCTTGCAGAGTGATCAACTAATCTAATAAACCAGTTATGCGCATATCGTTCTCACATTACTGCACATAATATGTATGCATCTCGTATAACTGCATTATATATAAACACATATTCCGAGTATGATAACATTAGTAAGTGTTTCTTGATAATTAAAGAATGCATATATATATATATTTATCGCTAAAGAAAAGTCTCGTATAAAATTACATCCAATATTATGCACGTTAATAATGAATTTTATAAAAGTATCATTCACGTAATTAGATTTAAAATGAAATTATAAAAAGAAAACACATTGAAGTTACTTTTTATTAAACTAGTTTTTTTTTTTTTTCTAATCAGTATTAATCATTTCAAAAAAAATTGAAAATAATAATCGAAGTACGTAAGTATACGTCTTGTCAAATTTAAAATACAATCTTTTTTCATTCGTATGATGTTTTTCAATTCTACTGCAAGTTCATAGAAAACCGGTTTTATGGTATGCGAATAAGTAAGCATGTGTTTGTTAAGATTTTCCTGGATCAATACACAAGTATTCTCCTAAAAAACCCATAGATATATATACATATATATAAAGAATACATGTATGTAACAATGTCGTAGTAAACTGTTATCAGTGTTTATCAGAAAACAGTGAAAATAATCATCGATGGCATTTAGGTTTATTAAATTGAAATTCAATATTTTATGTTTATTCGTCAGAGAGTATTTTGAACTTTAAAGTTTAAAGGAAATTACTGTTTTATTTATAGAAATATA